AGTGCAGCCGAGATGCTCCTTGGAAGCGAGGATTGCCCGACTTCGTCTCACCTACTTTGGTCATGTTGTCAGAAGGGACCATTCCCTGGAGAAGGATGTCATGTTTGGTAAGGTGGAGGGTTGACAAAAGAGGGCAAGGCCTTCAATGAGATGGATTGACACAGTGGCTGCAACAATTGGCTCAAGTATAGCAAGGATCATGGAGCAGGCACGGGATCGGGTGGTGTTTCATTCTGCTGTGCATGGGGTCACTATAAGTTGGAAACGACTCGGCAGCACCTAACAACAACAAAACCAAACCAAATTCACTGCCACTGAGTCGATTCCAACTCATAGTGACCCCCTTTGTGTTTCCAAGGCAGTAATCTTTATGGAAGTAGATTGCCCAGTCTTCCTTCCACAGAGTAGCTGGTAGGTTTGAACCAGCAACCTTCTGGTTAGCAGTTAAATGCTTAGGCACTACACCACTAGAGATCCTCATACCTCAATAAAGCTATTTTAAAAACACATAGAGGAAATGAAAAGACAAACTACAAATTGAACAATATTTGTAACACATGTAATTGACAAAGAATTTATACCTAGAATATATGAAGAATTCCATAATTCAGTAAGAAAATTCCATTCTTGTACCTATCAGTTATGTACCAGTATAGACATAGAAACCAACCAACCAAACAAACAAACAAACTCGCTGCCGTGGAGTCAGATCCAACTCATAGCGACCCCTCCTTGGGTTTCTGAGGCAGTATCGCCACAGAAGTAGATTGCCCAACCTTCCTTCTGAGGAGTGGCTGATGGGTTTGAACTGCCAGCCTTCTGGTTACCAGTTAAATGCCTTAGGCACTATGCCACCAGAACTCCTAAGTATAGACATAGACACATAGTTTTTAATAGCAAAAACCTGAAAATAACTCACATGTCCATTGTTGATAGAATAATTTGCAGCATAGTCACATGATGGAATACTTCATTAAGTATAGCTACACAGAACATCAGGGAGCTCTGGTAGCATAGTGCCTAAGGCACTTGACTGCTAATCAGAAGGCTGGCGGTTCAAACCCACCAGTCACTCCTTGGAAAGAAGATGAGGCAATCTACTTGCGTAGTGAGACTGCCTCGGAAACCCAAGGAGGGGTCGCTGTGAGTCGGGTCCGACTCGAAGGCACATAACAACAACAACCACAGAGAACATCAGGGGCTCTTGTGGGGCAAAAGTTTAAGTGCTCTGCTGTTAACTGAAAAGTTGGTAGCTGGAACTCACAAAGAGACAACGAGAGAGAAAGACCTGGTGATCTGCTCCTGTAAAGATTACAACCTTGGGAACTCTAGGAGGCAGTTCTACTCTGCCACGTGGGGGTGCTTTGAGTTGAAAACAACTTGATGACACAACAATAACACAGAGCAAAATGTTGAGTCTTAGGAACACATGTTGAATAAATACAATTTTATCAGTAAAAATTCAAGAACATTGTTAAAATTATTAAAACTATAAAATAAAGGGAGTGATAAGCACAAGATCATGATTGTGGTTGATTTTGATGATGAGGGAAGAGGATGTAACCAAACAGGGCATATGGTACTTCAAGGATAATGGTACTATTTATTTCTTAAACTGAGGGTACAAGAGTGTACATTTCATCATTATTTTTTATATCTTCCCATCTAATATATATATATATATATATATATTATTTTTCACAAACTCAACTGAAAACAAAAAATAAATAGTGACAAGCCAAGAGCAGCTGAGGATTGCATCAAAGGTCTAATTAATCTTGGGATGAGGACAGGGACTTGATACACCTGTGAGTATTCTAGAGTTATCCCGATGGAGGAACTGACTCCATGAACTGAATTTCAGTCTCCATGAGCACATGGCAAACCCAGTGTTACTTTTTTTTCTCCATAAATCACACTTATTCTAAATAGTTCATTGCTTGGGCTTTAAGCAAATTTTCCCAGGGGCTTGATGAGAATTCAAACATAAAGAATATGATAGTTTCACCTCAGATCTTCAGAGTCCTTCTTCTTTGCATATTGAGAGTGGGATCCTGTGAAGGTTGATACAGATGGTATAGAGGAGGGTCTCTGTTCAGGTAAGGTATTATGATTAGGGCAGGTAGGGAGAAGGGACAGCTTGAGAAAGAAAAGATTTTGTAGTTGGTTTGGAAGCCCCTTGAAGACCTGTCTAGCTCTGAGACTCTTTGTCTTAGGGAGTATTGGGGGTGGGGATTTATTTAAATACATGCCTTCTACTTACATTTAATTAGAGCTGGCCTAGACTTTTCTTCCTCTTCTGAGGTGGCTAAGTCTCTCATATCATGTCAGCTGCATGGTTTACTGCCTCACTGCCTCCCTCCACACCCATATTCAGCCTCTCCTGGATTCCCTGGGGCCAACTGCACAAAACCATATGTGTCTCAGATAATGGAAAATCTATTCTAAATGCTTATTTTAGATTGAGAAATATCCAATCCCTCATGCCCACATTACTGATGTGTCTCCTCTAATTGGTGGTTTCTACACAGCTGAAGGGTCATGCTGTCCTTCCTTCTGCCTTCAAGCAGGACCTCCTTCTGATGGCTCCTGTCTGTGTCATTCTCATCCAAATAACCAACTGGAGACCTGGTGGGTGTTATGATGGAAAAGAAAGAGTATAGTCACTGTGAAAATAGGTGTGGGCTCCACCATCAAAGAGGGCCCAATCTAACAGCAAACATTTGGAAAAAAGGACCGTGGTCCTTGCCACCTAGAACTAAAGAGAGATGCTTAGCCTCCATATTGCCCCTATTCCTGAGTCTACTCAGGTTTCTTAAGCTATCAGATGCCTCCTGTCTCTAATTTCATCAAGATCAGTGGCTTGAGCTTTGTCAATGAGCCTAAACACCGGGCTTTACCACTAGGTCCTCTGGAAATGGACTCCCTCTGCCTCTACTTTTTCTCAGGGAAGATTCTTTCTCTCATATTCAGACTTCCACTAACTAAACAGACTATGTTGTACTGCAGAAACAGAGATTTTATATACAAGTCTAGAAAATTTGTGTACAAATTAGTGCAAGGTTTAAATAGTTAGAACTAATCTGATATCAGACTTGGTGCTGTTAGCAAGCTGTTTTTCCACTTCTGTTTTGCTACGTTTTTCTCACTAGAAATATATGCAATTTGGAGCAGTACTGAGCAGGACCATTGAGTTTTTATCATTGCTTTGTGATTTTCTGGGTAGCTGTCAAGCAACTTCCTATCTCCTGTCCTCAGTTGCTCCACCAGTGAAATGGAGGTTGTTGCTCTTTCTCAGAGCATATGTGAAAGCCAGTTGGACATCAAACAATTACAAGCTTTGAAGGGTCTCTGAGTTCTGTGAGGGAATTCTTGAACAATTGAGGTGTTATCATTTTAGCCACAACCTAAGGATGAAGATGACACTGGAACCAACCTGGCCAAATCTGAATGATGAAAGCCAATTACAAACTTGAAAACAGGCTTCAGATGGAAGATGAGACAGTTAGATTTACTTCCTCTTTTCTAATTTGAGAGGTTTCATGTAGAAGAAAATCAGTGCATTGAAAGTTACAGTAGACCCAAACATGGTCACCATGAAGCTAGACTGTATTCTCATGGCCTGGGCTCCCTACTTTCTCCTTGCTATGTTTTGGGCAGCCCCGATGCTATTGGGTAAGTAAAATGTTTGAATTTTGGTGTGAGAATGGATATATGCCTGACTTTGGGGAAATGATCCAATGGAAAGAAATGTGGGCCGATTTCGGCCCTACAAAGGAGTGTTGAGGCAAGATGTAAAGAGAGTTTGATAGGCAGGGTTAGGTAGCTCTTTACAAAAGTCTTCCTGACTTTTCTATTCAAAACTCCCCTCTATGATTCCCTATCTAGCTACAATTGATCTCTTTTCTTGCTTTTCTCAGAAAAGTTTCTTGAAAGAATATTGAGCACTTGCTGTCTCCACTTCCTTCTCACTCACTTCTCCATGCTTGCAATCTGACTTTCACTGGAGTCACTTTTGCCTAGGGTACAATGACCTCCATATTGACTGGATCATTACACACTCTTTAGTTCTGATCCTGCTGGACTTCTGTGTTTCATTGGGCAGCGTTGATCACTTATTCTTTCTTGACTTCTCTCCAGCTGCCCTGGAGCCGTTTTCTCCTGGTACTTCATGTACCTCTTTTTGTTCCTTTACCTTCTCTTCTCCTTAAACACTGGTGTTCTCCACAGTTACATCCTTGCTTCCCTTTCCTTCTTTCTTCACACAATTTCGCTAGGGAAATGACTTGTCTGTGTAATTTTTACTTCTATAACCAAATCACATCTCAACCCTAACAATGGTTTTGAACTTTACATTCAAATATCAGGCTTCCCAGAAGACGTATCTACTGTATGTTGCACAGGTACTTTAGCACAATATGATCAGAGCTGAACTCATCTGTCCTCCTGGCCCCTAGTTCTTCTAATTCACTTTGTACTTTTTCTGATATCAGTTCATGGCACCAGGTATCCAGGACAGAAACCTAGGAAACAATCTACGATCCTCTCGCTCATCCCCTACATCCAATCAATCATCAAGTTTGACAAAATTTCTCTTCCCTGAATCATTGCTAATACCATGCCAGAAAAAGCCCTTGTCATCTAAGATGGGTTAGTACAGTAATTTCATAACTAATCTTACTGTTTCAGTCTTGTGCCCTTGAAAAGAATTCTCCATTCCACAGCCAGAATGATTTCTAATGTTCAGATCTCCCAGCCCAATGTCCTTATATAAGGTTGACCATGACCTGACCCCTATTTAACCTCTGTAGCCTATAGTCTCACACTTATGAGCCTTGAAAAGAATGCTCTGGTAAGTACCAATTTGCTTTGGTTTACACATCCACACACCAGACTCTTATCTGTCTCCAAGGCTTTTCTCATGCTGCTACCTCTACCTGAAATGAGTTCTCCATAATGCCCCCTACTCCCCTTATAAACTTATAAGCATTCTAAAAATATTATTGTTTGTTTCTACCCAATGGTATGGAATGGCTTTATTGAACTCATAGAAATAAGACTAGCTGACTATGAAAGCACAGTTATGGCATTGTACCAAGAACTCCAGTTTGGAATCAGATTCTCTGATTTCAAACTCTTCTGTTTAATAGTTCTATGTCATTTGGGGAAAGTAACTTTTATATCTCTGGGCTTCAGTTTTCTCATTTGCAAAATGGGACTAATAATATCTGTCACATTTATTATTGAATAAATGTTCCTGGTATGTGGAAGTTGCCCAAAAAGATTTTATTTTAAAAAAGGAAAAAATAGAGGAGGTTGAGTCCAGGTAGTGACAGTGGAGGAACCGAAAAGAGGTAGCAGAGTAGTGAAGGAAGCCAAGAGAGGATTTACAGAAAGCAACTGGCACGGATGTGATAAGAATTAGGAAGTAGAGAGGGGCTTTTATAAGGGAAGTTACAAGATCAGAGAAGCATTTTGGGTCACTGGAGGTGGAAGAGTACAAAGACAAACAGGGCAGGAAAGGATGGGGTGATGAAATGTACACACATCAAGGGGACATCAAGGAAGCCAAGTCAGTTTTGGGAAAGAGAGAATTGGGGGGTGGGCACCCAAGGAAAGTCATAAATACTGGAAGTCTGAAGGACTGAAGCAGATCATGTATAAACATAGAAGTAAAAAGAATACTGACTTTGGACTCAGACACATCTGGCTGTCTTGGCCCATTCCTTACTGTCTTCTTAAATTTTGAATAAATTAATTTCATTTTCAAAGCCTATTTCTTTCTCTCTCTCTCTTTTTTCTTCACTTTTATTGTGCTGAAAACATACACACCAAGACATTCACCAATATAACAACTTCCCCATTTACAGCTCAGGGACATTGATGACATTTTTCACATTGTGCCTCCGTTATTGCTATCCTTTTCTGAAATATTCCACCACAATTAGCATAAACTCAATGTCCCACAAACAAAAGCTTTTCCCTTTCCCCCTCCCTCCTACCCCTGGTAACCACAAACAAAATATGTATAAAACCAAATAAATTATATATATATATATACATATATACATACACACATATATATTTAATTTATAATATATTTATATTATAAAGTATATATATTTATATATAATATATAACAATAATGAGGAGCTCCAGTAGCGTAGTGCTTAAGGCACTTGACTGCTAACCAGAAGGCTGGGAGTTCAAACCCATCAGTCACTCCTTGGGAGGAAGGTTGGGCAATCTACTTCTGTAGTGATACTGCCTCAGAAACCCAAGGAGGGGTCACTATGAGTTGGGTCCAACTCAACAGCAAATAACAACAACAACAACATAACAATAATGGACTAATACAATATTTGTCCTTCTGTGATTGACTTATTTCACTCAGCATAATGTCCTCCAGTGAAATAAGTCAATCACAGAAGGACAAATATTGTATTAGTCCACTATTATAAAAAGTCAAGGAAAGTTTTATACATAGAAAGAAATTTTCTTTGTTGATTACCAGGGGAGAGAGGGGAAGGGAGGCTAAATTCCTAGATAGGTTGGAATATATATATATATAATACATCTCACATCTCCTGTGAAATGGAGAAAAGTTTAGTAGAATGGGCTTTTTTCCATATTCTCTCTTTCCCAAAACCGACTTAGCTCTTCATCCTTAGTATATTCTTGAAGATATAGCTTTCAGTCACTGAGACTCTCCTCCTTTGTTGCTTCCTTGTCAGTTCTTCATTTTTCAAGCACCCCTATCTTAATATCTTCTGCTCCTTGAACTTTTCCTGGCAATGTTAGAGCTCTTTCTATGTCCTTCTCTCAGTCCCATCCTCCTACTCCCAATATGGACTGGTATCTGTGTAATTTATATATACCATAATGTCCTCCTAGGAGCTCTGGTGGTATAGTGCCTAAGACATTTAACTGCTGACCAGAAGGCTAGTGGTTCAAACCCACCAACCACTCCTCAGAAGCAAGACTGGGCAATCTACTTCCATAGAGATACCACCTTGGAAACCCAAGGAGGGGTCACCATGAGTTGGGTTCGACTTGATGGCAATGAAGTTTTTTTTTTTTTTTTTGGTTTAATGTCCTCCAAGTTCATCCACATTATGCAGTATTTTGCAGACTCTACATTATTCTTTAAGGTTACATAGTATTCCATTGTGTGTATGTACCACAGTTTGTTTAGCCATTCATCAGTTGGTGGGGACTTACGTTGTTTACACCTTTTTGTTATTGTGAATAGTGCTGCAATGAACATGGCTGTGTATATATCTGTTTTTGTCCTGCCTCTCACTTTTTTAGGACATATATCTAGTAATGGGATTGCTGGATCAAATAGTATTTCTATTCCAACTTTTTAAGGAATTACCATACCAATTTCCATAGTGGTTGTATCATTTTACAGTTCACCTTGCAGTCTATGAGAGTCCAATCTCCCCACATTCTCACCAGCATTTGTTATTTTCTGACTTGTTGACTTTCTCTGAGAGAGCCTATTTCTCTAAGCTCTATAAAATGAGGATGAAATCACATACTTGGAAAGCTTGTGAAAATTAAGTAAGATAATATGGGAAAGTGTTTAGCAGTGTCTGACACATGATATATACTCAGTGAATGTTAGACTCATCTCCTTTCCCCTCCTGTCCTTAGTCTCTCCTTGTCTTTGGCCCCAGCAGCTGGATGTCATGCTGCTGAGTTCACCATTCTGTTACTCTCTGATCCACTCCTCTTCCCCAGACCACAGTCTATTCACTGAGAGCACAGGATGCCAAGAAACCAAGATCAAATGCATCCCTCTGTGAGGTCCATATGGTCTCTTGGAAAAAAGGTTTTGTGTGTTCCTGATCTCATTCTAAAAACGATGATTCTCCCAGGGCAAGGAAGACACCTTCTGGAGGGTGTGTTCTTGTCTTTTTTCTCCAAGTCTCTGCACCATTTTATTCCCTCCCCCCACCCCAGCCATGCCTCCTTCAGCTGCCAGTCTTGAGATTCTGCCATGTGATGGAACCCCAGCCCCTGGATCTGTCAGCACCCAGGACAGCAGTTGCCACAAAGATGATGACTTGATTGGTCCAAGGGAAGATGGCTTCCAGGTCAAGGGCTACACCTTCAGTGAACCCTTCCATCTAATTGTGTCCTATGGTGAGGTCAAAGGCAGGACTGACCAGTGCAGTCCTGCTATTTTCCCTGTTCCCCAAACCTCTCTTTTCACCCCCACAGCCCACTTAGGAGGAACTCTAGTGGTGTAGTAGGTAAGGGACTTGACTGCTAACTGGAATGTCAGCAGTTCAAACCCACCAGCTGCTCCATGGAAGGAAGACTAGGTGATCTACTTCCGTAAAGATTTACAGCCTCAGAAAACCAATGGGAGTTGCTATGAGTCAGAAACGACTCGATGGCAGTGTGTTTGGTGGGTTTTTTTTTTTTCTTTCCCATTTATGAAGATGTCCCCAGGAAACTGACCAGAGGAATAGATGTTTTCTTCCCTGTCTCCATCCCACATTAGCTAGGGTGCCCTAAGACTTAGACATTATAGAAGTTATTCCATACTCCCAAAAATAGGTCAGAGTTACCTGGAACCTCAGAGAAAGTTTAGAGGGGTCTTTTTGTGAGCAGCACCGGAAAGCTGTAAATGGCAGTAAATGACACTCAGCTCTTGTCCTGAGCCACAGACTGGCTGATCCTCCAAGGTCCATCCAGGCTTGTGTTTGAAGGAGACTCACTGGTTCTGCGCTGCCGGGCCTGGCAAGATTGGCCACTGACCGAGGTTACTTTCTACCGGGATGGCTCAGCCCTGGGTCCCCCTGGACCTAACAAAGAATTCTCCATTGCTGTGGTGCAAGAGGCAGACAGTGGACACTATCACTGTAGTGGCATCTTTAGGAGTTCTGGTCCTGGGAGCCCAGAAACAGCATCTTCTGTGGCCATCATAGTTGAAGGTGAGAGCTAGAACCAATGTCATGGTGGTGGAGATGGGTGGGGAGAGATATTAAGCTCAAAATTGTCTCTCTTTGGCCCAAAGATATCAAGATAATTGAAAGCTTAAGCATAAGGTTAATGATTTAACTGTTTCAAAATCCTCAACAGCACTGGCCTAGACATCAGGAGACCCAGCTATTTATCCAGGCTTTTCCACATAGGAAAAGAAATGTAGGGTATACGTGAAGCCTCTTTGGGTCTCTATTTTGTCATCTGTGGAATGGAGAATCTGAGCAGACTCCATTGCAGGTGGTGGTGAGGATTAAGTAATGTTCCTAAAGTGCTTTGTAAATTGTAAATGGCAAGACAAATGTACTATTTTGTGTTGATTGTATTTCGGATTTGGAAAACTAATCAAATACGCAAGTATGATTTTGCAAGGAGTGGAATCTCAGCATTGTCTTTTCAAGTGATCTGCCCATTCTGCATCTCGCATGTTTCCTACTGCTTCTCAGTGCCTGCTGATTGGATGTCTGTACCATTCTCAGATTTTTCCATCTCTGGATTTTTATTAATGTCTGAAAAATCAGAAGGTCAAAATGGGATTTTTCTAAGAGAGACTATTCCTGAAGGAAATAGGTAAAGAAAAATGTGACTGGGGTTCTTAGCCTATCATGGGTGCACTTGAAGGTAGGTGGGCTGAGCTCTTCTTTCTCATCTCTCTTTTCCCAGAACTATTTCCAGTCCCAGTTCTCAGAGCCATACCCTCAACTGAGCTCCAAGAGGGGGACCCAGTGACCTTGAGCTGTCAGACACAGCTGTCCCAACAGAGGTCAGCCACACGCCTCCTCTTCTCCTTCTACAAGGATGGCAGACTACTTCGTCACAGGGGCCTTTCCTCAGAATTCCAGATTCCTACAGCTTCAGAAGAGCACACTGGGTCCTACTGGTGTGAGGCAGCCACTGAGGACAGCCAAGTGTGGAAAGAGAGCCTTCAGCTGGAGATCAGGGTGCAAGGTGAGTTTGTGTGTGTAGTAGTTCAGTTTGTGTGTCAACTTGGCTGGGCCTGGTTGAGTGACTGGGCAGCTGGATGTAGTATTCACCATGATGAGACTGGTAATCAACTCCATGGTGGAATCTACTGTGAGCAGCTGAGTAGCTGCTTAGGGAATGTGGTCTGCTTCCTGTACATAAGCAGACGCCTTGGTCTTGAGTTTATGGCATGCTTGGACCCTGCATGCAGCTGTGTCATTGTTCAGCAGCTTGCCATGCTCTGCTGACCTTGGGACTTACAATGGACTTATATTAATGGCCTGCCATGTGGGTAACATTGGGACTGTGCCTTTTTACACCTTGGGTTTGTCAGCCTTAGCAGCCAGCAGCTGTCTGAGTGAAGAAACGCCTCTAGCTCCAGTGGGCCGGAAGCAGGAGGCAGAGCTGGACCCCAAGGTTGAAGGGCTTTCTCCCAGCCCCTAGAGCCTGGCACTTTGAACTTGGACTTAAGACCTCAAAATTGTAAGAATAAACTCCTGTTTGTTAGGAGGCCATCCTATTTGTGGTATATTGTTGTCAGAGCGGCACTAGGTAACCAGAACAGAGTATTTTTGTATCTGATGTGTGTGTGTGTGAAGGAATGTATAGTGATCGGGTCCACAGTTGGGATTCACTGTGAGCAGGCTAAGAAGGGATGCACAGAAGGGAGGAACAATAAGCAGAGTCCTTGGAGATGGAAGAATGCACTAATAGAGATACTTGCACCTCAGACTATGTATGTTGTTGTTGTTGTTATGTGCTGTCGAGTCCGACCCAACTCATTGTGATCCCTCCTTGGGTTTCTGAGGCAGTATCACTACGGAAGTAGATTGCCCCATCTTCCTTCTGAGGAGTGGCTGGTGGATTTGAACCACCAGCCTTCTG